CATATTCCTGTATAAACCTAACCTTTGTCAATGTGACCTACTATTTATTTAGCAGCTATAGTGAACCATAAGGTTTTGTTCAGAGATGCAAGGTTAGACATTAGATTTTATGTCCAGCAAAAAAATCTATTTTGAAGGTAAGAAGAAAAAAAAAGATAAGATATTTTACTTAAACAAAAAGGAAAACCCATAATAGCTATTTAGATACAGACCAAAACCTTTTCAACTCACTACACAAGAGTTTAGAAAAAATACTATCCCTGGCCAGATGGCTCAGTCGGTTGGAGTATTGTCCCATATACCAAAAGTTGCAGGTTTGATTCCTAGTAGTCAGCGTACATACATAGGTTGCAGGTTCGATCCCTGGTTGGGGGTGTACGGGAGGTAACGGATGGATGTTTCTCTCTCACATCGATGTTTTTCTCTCTCTCAATCAATTAAAAACCAAAAAAACCCCCAACAAAACCCCACAAAAAACATATCCTTGGGTGAAAATGTACTAAAAGGAATAAAATGAGTAAGCTGCCATATTAGTCAAGAAGTTTAACAAGTGTGTGCTGTTTAGCAAGAGCTACTGAAATAATGCAGTAAATCCTGATGTAATACAGAATCAAAACAAACAAACAAACAAAACAAACACTATCCCACAAATAAAATGAGGTTTCATTTTAACTTTTAGGAATCTGTTATGGCAGTTGCTTTTTTTCCCAAAGGACTGAAACAATTTGGAGCCCAGCTGCTACTTACTTTATCTAACAATAGACTGTACATAGGAACAGGCTGTAAAATTTAGTAATTCACAACATTCGCTTTGAAATATTATGGCAATCTTTAAAGCAACATACCACAATGGCACAATCAGCCCCTCTGTTCAACAGACATTTATTGAGCATCTATGTACTAGCCACTATGCTGGGTGCTGAGGACATAAAGATTAGCAAAGCAGACATATAAAGCTCCGTAGGTTTGTATAGTTTCTAAGGCTGAACAGCAAAGAGAAAACAAAGTTGTCCTTTGATTTTGTTTTTCCATTAGAGCAGTGGTTCTCAACCTCCCTGACTGTGAATGTTATTTCATATCAAAATGCTCCCTTAATTATAGCTCTAGCTTCTCAAGCTTTAGGCAGCTCAGTCAGAAGCTGCCTAAACTAACTGAAATTGGATCCCTGCAGAAAAAATATATTTTAGGGAAACATGTGCACCAAGCACCTACGCATCTGTTAACATTAAAACCAGAAGGCGGCAAGTATGTTAAAGCATACATAGGAACAGGCTGTAAAATTCAGTAATTCACAACATTCGCTTTGAAATATTATGGCAATCTTTAAAGCAACATACCACAATGGCACAATCAGCCCCTCTGTTCAACAGACATTTATTGAGCATCTATGTACTAGCCACTATGCTGAGTGCTGAGGACATAAAGATTAGCAAAGCAGACATATAAACCTCCGTAAGTTTGTATAGTTTCTAAGGCTGAAAAGCAAAGAGAAAATAAGGTCATCCTTTGATTTTTGAACCATTAGAGCAGTGGTTCTCAACCTGTGGGTCGCGACCCCTTTTTAATACAGTTCCTCATGTTGTGGTGACCCCCAACCATAAAACTGTTTTTGTTGCTACTTCATAACTGTACCATCCTGCATATCAGATATTTACATTACGATTCATAACAGTAGCAACATTACAGTTATGAAGTAGCAACGAAAATTATGGTTGGGGGTCACCACAACATGAGGAACTGTATTTAAAGGGCCAGAAGGTTGAGAACCACTGCATTAGAGGCAGTCACCCCCAAACTCCTACCCCAGTTATGAGGGGGCTGAGGCCCACAAGTTTTTGTGTAGGTCAACTGTGATATTTATGGGCAACTGCTTCCTGGAGGCCCAGTATGAATAGCAGTAGGTCCCCCAGAGAGTCTATTTAATGCCCTGCTACACTGTGCAGTTTCATAAACTCTGATTGCTATTTATACTATTGCTGCGCCTGGAAATGTTTTCCGAGTTCTAAAGGGGGTCACCATGAACAAAGTTCTTCCTGGCTCGGCCGAGGCAGTGAGGGACACTCTGCCAGTTCTAAGTGGGTGACTCCTATGGTGAGGAGAATAGGGGGTCTCAGAGAACCAGGGGAAGGGAGTGGGAGAAACAACAGGCATTGGGAGTGAGGGTTAGGAACCAGCTCAGATTTCCCCCAGTCCTCCTTTTCCTTTTCTCCTCATTGATCAGATAAACATGGGGTAAGAAAGGGGAGGGTGTCCTGGGTTTAAGCAGGTTAGGACTGCTGGTATTAGTGGGACGGGGTTAAGCGAAATAGAATACAGTGTTCAGGGAAAGGAAGAGAACCACCAACAGTGTCAAAGGAGAAGGTCTGTGAATGTGACAGAAATGAGTGAATAATGATACATGTAGTATATGTTGGCAGGGGCATCATTAAAAAATTGGGCATTGTTGAGGGCATCCAGAGACATCCAATCCAAAGATTAGCAACCACTGACTGTTTCTTGGATATGGAACATTATATGTGCTGACAGACTATAACTAAAGGGAAAAAAGAACCCTACACTGTTGGAGTATTTGCAATGCCATGGAAATTGTAGTGTTACATATCAATATTAGTTATTAATCATTTGTTTTATTTTTAATGTTTTTATTGATTTTTGAGAGAGGAAGAGGGGAGAGAGAGCGAGAGAAACATCGATGGGCTACCTCCTGCATGCCCCCCACTGGGGATGGGAACCTGCAACTCGGGTATATGCCCCAATCGGGAATCGAACCGTAACCTCTTATTGCAGACAAGGAAGCTTCGCTCCAGACAGATGGAATGACTGGACCGAGGTCACACATTTATGCTCTGGCATGACAGGCAGACTCAGGCAAGGAACTTTAACATATGTGATGGGGCATGTGTCAAAGGCATAAACATATGATTTTTATTTAGAAATCACAGGGAAGTCATGCGAGACTGAAGCAAGCAGGGAAGGAAAGTAAGGCAGACTCCATCCCCCACATCGTAGGGGAAGTGCCTTGTGCACTCTGGAGAAATGAAACCCTGACAGTGACTTATCACACATTGTAAAGCTCCAGGGAAGACACACAAGCAACAGTTTTCAGTGAAAAACTGCCCTGAAGCGTATTTAATTAAATAGAAATGTCAGTCTTTTTCAGTCGCCTTAAATAACATAAATTAATGTCACTCGAAACTTAACAGCATGTAGAAATAACAGGTTTAGATTTCATTTTTATCACAATTATAATTTCAGAGTGATACCAGAAAAGACTACCCAGACTAAGTAAAGGAACACATTTGCTGTTTCAGTGCAGGGAGGGAGGAAAGACAGCTCAGGAACAGAAAAGACGCAGCCTTTGGTATGAACCCTAATGAGTGGGTTACTTAGGAAGTCACTGATTCTCTAAGTCCCCTAGGAAGGCAAAGAGAAGATGATCTTTGTTGCTGTAAGGAAATCTTCAACAGAGGCGTTTCATATGAACTCACATGATATATTAACAAAATATTTCATATAAAGAGCAAGGGTATTTTGAAAAAATGTAGTAAAGCACTTCATAAACCTAATGAACTTTAGGATGTACATCAATATAACCTCTAACTATACTTTTTAACTATAAAAATCTTCCTAGATATTTAGACACTCAGTTACACTTGGCAGGGACTACGCTCTCTTCAGTACGCTCAAGTCTCCTCTTTGGCTGTTTCCGCCTCCTTCTGGAGTGTCATTGTCCTACTACTCACACAGACACCCTAAGATCTGGTCTCCCCTTCCCCAAATACTATCTCAAGACAGATTGGGGCCTGCCCTGTGTGGCTCAGTGGGTCAGCGTTGATTCCTAGTCAGAGCACATGCCCGGATTGCAGGCTTGGTCCCCAGTGAGGGGTGCACAGGAGGCGCATGATCACCCCTGTGGCGGGCAGGAGCAAGAGGCAGCCAGTCAATGATTCTGTCTCATCATTGATGTTTCTCTCTCTCTCTTCTTCTCCCTTCCTCTCTGAAATCAATAAAAATATATATATTTTAAAAAGACAGATTGGAAAACATCCTTACTAAGGTGTAAAAATTTATGACACTTTAAAGGAGTTATTTCCCACCCCTTCTATTTTTTAAAAAAATTGGACTATAGCCCTAGCGGGTTTTGGTCAGTGGATAGAGCATCAGCCTGCGGACTGAAGGGTCCCAGGTTCAATTCTGGTCAAGGGCACATGCCAGGTTGCAGGCTTGATCCCCAGTGGGGGGCATGCAGGAGGAGCTATTTCTCGCTCCTTCTCCCTGCTCTATGAAATCAGTAAAAATAAAAAGAATTAAAAATATTAGACTATATATTTTAGAGCAGTTTTAGATTTACAACAAAACTGGGTAGAAAGTACAGTTAACACCCCTTCCCCTTTTCATTTTAATGGATATCAAATACTGAAACAAAACTAGAAATTTTTAATCTGGGGTCTAGAGAATCCATGGATGGTCTTCATGGGTCCTTGATCTCATAGATATTATATTCTGGATTGTGGTATATGGGTGTATATACATTTTTTTGGGGGGGGGTGTGCATATACTTTTTTAAAAAAAAAACCTCACCCAAGTCCAAGGGTATGTTTTTAAAATTGATTTTAGAAAGTAAGGGGGGGGAGAGAGAGAGAGAGAGAGAAACCACCCGGCCACAGCTATATATACATTTTTTTTTAAGGAAGCAGGTCTCAGCAGGTTCTCAAGGGGATGGCATTCAAACACAGCTAAGACCACTGAGCTAAAGAATGAAGTTCAAGGTCCAGACATCAGGTAGAGAGATTAAAGGAACTATTTTGGGGACAGAAAGGCTTCACTGGTGTCCCTAAAACAACACCACACAGGTGGGGGCCACTCCAAGTGTCAGTAAGTATACCCAGGCCTCTGACTTGAACAGCGCTATAGAAATACCCTGCTTAAGTAAATTACAACCAATGAAACAACTTTCGAAAAACATATGATTACAGCTCCTTTTTCCCTTATTAACATACCTTTAAAGCTTCTATAACAAGGTCCCTGGCTTCAAGCTCTCCTTCAAGAATACTGAACAGTGTTAGGAGTTCAGGCTTGCTGAGTTTTTCCAGATTCATCCTGAAGGCCTAAAACAGAGACACCGTCAGACAATCTCTGAAGACAGAGTTAACTTGATATGATCAAAGAAAAATAAATTGAGACAGACAAGTAGTATAACTATTATAGTATAAAAAGCTTTGAGAAAATAAAATTCACTTTATTGATTTCATCACTACTCACAAAAATACATTTTATTTTTCCTCTAAGCATATTTGCAAGCATCCTAGAAGGTCTCAGAATGAGTTAGTCACTAATTTTGTTCACTAGAAATTCAGGTAAAATTGTGTTACAATTAATAGTATTTCACCAAAAATTGTTATACCACAAAAAGATTTCCCACCTTTAGATAACCAGATTCAAAACCCACATATGAAACATGCTGGCATCCCTCTGAAATTGGCTGAAATGAAATTTGAGCAAAGATAATGTTCGCTGGGGGTATGGGAGAGATTTTTCTTTTAAATTGTCTACTTTCAGAGAGAATATCACAATATTTATATTTCATATAGCAAAATAATACTTAAATGCAACCAATATGCAAAAGTAATTTTAAATGGCTTCTTAAAAAATATATATATATTTTTAATATATATTTTATTGATTTTTTACAGAGAGGAAGGGAGAGAGATAGAGTTAGAAACATCGATGAGAGCAAAACATGGATCAGCTGCCTCCTGCACACCTCCTATTGGGGATGTGCCCGCAACCAATTAAAAAGGCAAGTCTCTTTCATATATATATATATAGTTTTAAACATCTTCATTGGCCAGACTACTGAATGTATTTCACTTAAGTTCACATTTCTACAAGGAACTGTATCTTTTGAAATATGTTAAATGGGAAATCTCATGGCACAAATTCTATCTTTTCCACGAGAGTAATTTCTCACAAACCACACATAGAAATTAGATGGTTGTTTTAGGGTCTTTTGACCAGCATTTATGGTAAAATACATTTTATAACTTCCAAAGTAGAGCAAATACTACTTTCCTATAGTTTTCTGTAGAGTGAATCATGGCATGACTGGTTCACACACCCTCCAGTAATTCCCAGCTCTGAAGAGAACATTAAGCTTTCGGAGGCACACAAAAGACGCATTGATTCCCTCCAGAGCTATGCCTTCAGGTGAAGGAAAACATGGAGAAAACTCTTACTTCACTGTGTTGTTAGACTGTGTTTTGGGACATGCTGTGCAAATCTTTTTGCCACATGGTAAAATATGTTCAATGTAGCTTCACCTTTAAAGGACTAACTTTCTAATGAGGGAGTTTTAGCGACTAGTAAGTAATTCTCACATCAGTGTTAGAGAGAGATCTCAAAGCAGTTATTTTTTTAAAGACTAGTTTACTGATTTTGAGAGAAATAGGAAGGGAGAGGGAGAAAGAGAAACATGGATGTGAGAGCAAAACATCGATGGGCTGCCTCCTGCACACCCCCTATCGAGAATCAAGTCCTCAACCCAGGCATATTCCCTGACCAGGAATCGATCGGGAACCTTTCAGTACATGGGATGGTGTCCAGCCAATTGAGCCACACCGGCCAGGGCTCACAGCAGTTATTTTAAAAATAAGAACTAAAAAACAGCAATAAACCTAATAAAGCGAAACTTAATATAGATGGAATGTTGGAAAGAACACGTGGCTTTGCAATCAGATAGATGCCAAGCCTGCATCTTCCTGGTTGTGTAACTTTGGGCAAGTTTTCAGATGATCACCTTTCTTATCTGTGAAAGGGGGTGATGATATCTAACTCATAGCGTTACTGTGGAGATTGCGTTAATAAAAGTAGAAGGCAATGCCAAGTTCCTGATACAAACCGAAGAACGGTTTAATTATTAATAACTACTATCCTCTCTCATTTTCCAAAGCAATTCAGAGAACAGTATTACCACAGTTAGGGGCAGCCAAGACCAATGACCTCAGAAATACCTTCTGCGGCCCTTTGTAAAAAGGCGCCAGCATCCTGAGTGAAGAATGGCGAGGACGAAGCTGCCAGCTGAGTCACCTGGCTTGTTATCTCTACGTGTGTAAATCACTCAGTGCACACAAACGTTAATATCTGGAACATCTTGCTGATGTGTACCAACCCATTTAGCTTAGTGTCTGCATGAAGTGAATACAATACAAATATGACACAGAAGGAAAAAAAGGGCCACAGCTGTATAATAATTCAAAAACCCACAGATC